GTATAAATTGCCCCCTTGGAGGCTAGGGCCTGGACCTCTTGGGTTATCAACTCTTGGTCCCGAGCGGGGAACACCATGCGGTTGGGGGGTTTCAGTTGAACAGGGCATTGCACAAAATCTATAGTGTAACCCTGGACCGTGTGGAGCACCCAGGCATCCGCAGTGAGCATGCGCCATGCCTTGACAAAATGGCCCAATCCGCCCCCCACCATTGTTAATGACGACATATGAGGAGGTAGTGCACTTACCATAAGGTCGTCAGCCATATGAAGAACCTCTGGGTCCTCGGGGTTGCCACGATCTGCCTCGAACCGGGAAGAACGGTGAGGCTTGTTTGGGTTCTGGAGGTGTGAATCTGGATTGTACGGAGCCACGAGAGCCCCGGTATGAGCCCAGGGGTGAGCGGACAGGCAGACGGCCCCACCAAAAACTCTCTGATGGAACACTCGCTTCATGTTGACTTGAGCCTTATCAAGTGCCGTAAATGTGCCCACATACGTGCCTAATTCTTTCACGAAGTTATCCTCAAATAGGAGGGCTTTTGCCTGGGGACCCAGCTCTGAGATAGCTAGGTTTACTAGCTTAGGCTCTATTTTAATTAGGATCGCTTTGCGTCTTTTCGTGGCCACCGCCGTATTAGCGTTGCCCAGAAAACATACGGCACGCTGGATCCACCCTCTGAGGGCTTACAGATCCAGCGGTGCACCCACTGCTAAAGCGATTTTGACCATGTCGAACATCTTCGCGATTGGTCCGAGGATGTCCAATACCTTATCCTGGCAATTCCACCAGGCAAAATCCAGGCCCTTCTTGGCCTTCCAGCCTGATTTTCCCAAAAATTGGTCGATTTTTGGGTCCACATCCGGGGTGGCGCATGCCATATCCGGGATCGTGGGGCATGGGTATTCTGCCCGCAGTTTGTTCCGTGCCACCTTATGCAGTGGTTTTCTGATGCGAGCAGCGATATACTTCGCTACGTGGTCCAGTGGGTACCATTCGGAGGACCTCGGGTGTTGTAGGGTGTCCGGGTCGAACAATGGTTCGCCCTGAGGGTCAACTAGGGCGGAGTCGTCGGCTCCGTCTTTGGGGTCCATATCCGTTAATGTGACGGAGTCGTATTCCAGCAAATGATTACTGGAATCATCAGAGTCCACCTCCTCGGACTCGCTCTGTGCCTCCTTTTTCTCCGATTCAGAGTTGGAGGATTCGATTAGGGCCTTAGCTCTCTTCCATTTTCGCACCAATTTTGCTCGGTGGGGGGCTCTTAGTTGTGGTCCAACCACAGGTTCTGTGACAGGACGTGCCCTGTCCGTCTTTAGGGTTTTGGAGGCATACTCGTCTAAATGGCAAGACTTTTTAGCGGCTTTACGCCCACTAGGGGCCACCGGTTTATTTTCTGGGGGGTTAGCCATGGGGTTTGGCGGCAGTTGCGTGGCTCTCATCGCATTGGTTATGGAATGAGATAAATTATCCGACATGGCACCCATGGCGGTAAATATGGCCTGCGTCACAGACTTCGACATAGCCACATCTAAGAGAGAATGTAACTCCTCTGAGTCCATTTGCTTTTGTGCTGTTTCCAGCACTGTGTGCATTTTGGGCCCTAGCAACGGTGGAGTGGTTATGGTGGCCCTAGGCTTTGTGGCACTATTCACTACGTTCTCAGCTTGCATGTCTGGGGTGGGAAGGACAGTATGTACAGGCAGAATACTAAAGTATACCCACTAAGCAGGCCATTAGTATGGATGAATCCCAAATATAATATTACCAAAAGACTAGCAGGCACCAGGCACCAATTTAACCAAATTGCTAAACTAGGCACAGACAACAAGCAAATTGCAGCAAGCTCACTGAGTGTTCCCTCAGGAATAAGCTCCTGGGGAGCACCGGGAGACTTGCCCAGCAACAAGGATCAACTCCCGCCCCCAAACGAGCAGTATTGGCTGCGCTAGCAAAAGCGCGGCAAAACTGCCAACCCCAAGATGGTCGCCGCGGTGTGTAACCGCGGTGTGCGCATGCACGGGCCACCGCAGCCACGGTTACAACCGCGGACCGCCGGGACCGCGACTGGCAGCGGTACCCATGTGAGGGGGAGCCCAGGTAATGGAGGGAATGGGGGGGGGGAACGGTCGGGAAATAAACCGACCGGAGGGGGGAGGGGGGGAGAGAAAGGGAAAGAAGTGCAGGGAGGACGAGACCCAAAAGGGAGGAGAAACAGGAAAAAGGTATTAACACATCAAAACCTGATATAAGTAAAGGAGGGAAAAAGTAATCTGACGGAAACAGCAAAAATACAGTTTAACTGTGAGAAACAGAGGAGGAAAGAATCTTGTACTTATCTGAGGCTGCAGCAGCAAAAAAAAGAGGAGTGGCTTAGGGTCACATTGGATTTTATTGTAATAGGCACACTCTGATTGGTTTATATGTGTTACTTGGTTAACCCTTTAGGAGTAATGATGTAGTGTTATTGAATTGTTTCTTTTTCATTGAATATATATATACAATATTTTCTTTTGCTGCTGAGGAATAAAAGAAAGAGAAAAGCATAATAAGAGCCTCCGTGTCCTTTAATAAAATTGTAATTTAACCGTTTCAGTCCTGAAGCCAAAACAAGAAAAGTGCTGAACTTAACTGAAGACACTGTCAATACATGTAACATATATATTGGGGTCAGTAAGACCCTTAAATAACATAAGGGATCAGCATTAAAAAAAAAAAAATTCAATCAATATGAAAAAAAAGGATTTACAAAACTATAAGGGGCCTGGAAAAAAGGTCAATAAATAGAATTAAAAGGAATTTCTAGGCACCATTGCCACTTCAGCTTATAAAAGTGGTTATGGTGCCAGGACTCTGTTAGGAAGCTTGGGGCTTGCAAGTCAAAAGACTGCGAACGTTTCTATGATGATTGGTGCTGGGTAAACACAGACATATCAAAGAAACAGGGGCAGACCTGCAAGCAATCTCTCCTGGTGGGCAAAGGCTCCACTACATTGCTGACATACCACTTGACTGGCATGAGTTGATTAGTGTAATTTTTACTGATAGGCTACGAGCTCTTCTTTTAGCCTTATTTTGTCAGTATGACAGATTAGTTAAACATCATTACCACTTCAATAAGTTGAAATGGTTATGGTTCCTAGAATATCCCTTTAAATAAATTTTTTATATATTGTTAATCTGCTTTAAAAAAAAAAAAAAAAAAAGAGTTGAGGAAGTTCGTATTTATGCCAAAAGTAACAGTTTGCTGTCCAGAAGATCAGCATTTTATTTTGTTTGTAGTTACAGCCAGGGAGAGTTGCTTTTGCTATGTGTACCTGGCTGGCTTAATACGGAAATGCCATTATTAAATGGACACATTCCATATTTCTGCTTTGAGATCCATCTTAATGTCCTGGCTTTGATACAGAACTAAATAGCACAGGGTTCTGCTCATACCCAGCCCTGCAGTTCTTTTGTGACAAAATCAATGACTTCATCTCTTAAAAACATTTAATTTTTTTAGAACATTCATTCAGATGTTTGTTATTGGTATGTTGGATCATGGACTGGTTTTGTGAGTATATTCAGCTTAGCTATGGCTTAAGGGAAATAAAACACAGTATCATTGTGTTCCATATTACTTTTTTCTTTTGCATAGCTTAATGTCTAAATTTGTACTCTTGTGCATTTATAGATGGGTCACATGTTTTTACTTGATTTCAATTCGTTTTGATTTATCTTTAACTCAGTCTATTACTTTGTGAGATGTTCTTACCATTCCAAATTGCAATTGGTACAAATACTACAGCAGACCTTCTACATTATTCCATGAAGGAATATTATATATATATAATTCTTTATTTTGAGAATTTTAAAGGCATTACAATTACTGTGCTGCATGTCGCAGCAGACATATGCATATACATTCAGTGAGAGACAATAATAGTTTATAAAACAGTATAATAACAGTATAGTAAAGCAAGAGAGGTTAGGCTACATTATGCTTGACAATGGAGTACATGAAATATATATATTAAATGTCTGGTTGTGTTACACTGTACCTGGTGCGTAGCGCTGGGTGATTATAGAAGGCATGGTCATGGATCAGTGTATCAAAGTCAATTTGTATGCAACCTTGTCCGACTTAATAGAGATATTTCCAAAAATTCGAACAGATATGATATTAAATATATTTTGAAGCATCATGTCACCCTGGTGGAACATCAAGATAGGGCTAAATGGACTTCAGCTACATGAGCAATTTACATGGCCTGTGAGAGTTTGAGATACATTTTTAAGCACCTGAAAATATCAATATTTGAAGTGAATACAAGTGAGGTAAATGCTGTTTTATGTCATCCTAGGCCACAAACATGTCATGAGTCAAAAGTCATCAGTTTAAACTTATCTGCTTGGCCTGAACGTGTATTTCTAAAAATCAAGGTTGAACTGCAAGTAGCAAAATGTAGTCAGAGGCCCATAGTAATGCCACACAAATTATTCGCAATCAGTGATGTCTGACAAATAAGGATTAAATAGTCACTTATTGTTTGACCATGTCAAACTAACTTCTTTGAAGAAGGCACAAAATGCATACAGTATATACTCGAGTATAAGTCTAGTTTTTCAGCACATTTTATTGTGCTTAAAAACCCCCACTCGACTTATACTCGAGTCACTGTCTGTATTATGGCAACAAGCCGTGGCAACGAGCCGTGGCAACGATCCGCGCGGCAACCAGACCGCGATACTTACTGTGGAGCTGACCGGAACGGTGGAGAAGGGAGCTGACAGGAGCTGCAGGAAAGGTAAGTAAATGCTTACTGCCGGCCCCCCCACTTCACAGCCCATGCCACTGGACCACCAGGGATTAAGATAGCCCCCCTCCATGACCAGTTAACAAGCAGGGAGGGGGGACAAAAAAAAATTCAAATAATAAAAAAATAATAATATTAAAATAAAAAAAAAATTCAAATAATTAAAATGCCCTCCCCCCACCCAGTTCACACACACTACACAAACACACACTCTGCATTATATACACACTCTGCATTATATAAACAGAGTGTGTGTATATAATGCAGAGTGTGTGTTTTTATGAGTGTGAATAATAAATGTATGTTATTTAACTGAAAACTAGTTTAAAGATAGAATGCAGAATGTAGTTTGGGGGAAAATATTCATGCTAGACATAAGTGGTAAATGGAAAACCTTTGGGTTCTGTCTTGAATCCACTTCTGTTTAATCAGTTTAAAAATCATCTTGCAATGACCATTGAAAGATTAATGTCACTATTTGCAGATGATAAAACCTAGGTAAGGTGATGCAGTCTGTGCAGGAAAATACATACACTGATCAGCCACCTGCCTAATATTGTGTAGGTCCCCTCCTTTTGCCAAATCAACTCTGAAGTGTCCTGTGGTAAACTGTGGACATTAGCAGCAGATCCTTTAAGTATTGCAAGTTGGAGGTGAGGCCTCCATGGATCAGATTTGTTGTTCAAGCACATCCCACAGATGCTCAATTGGATTGCGATCTGGGGAATTTGGAGACCACAGCAACACCTTGAACTCTTTGTCATGTTCCTCAAACCATTCCTGGTCAATTTATTTTGACAATCTTTATTTATATTTTCAGTTTTTGTTTTTAGTTTGGTACAGAAAGCAATCCAGTGGCATAGACTAACAAGGTGTACAAAACAAATACATGGTGTAAACGCTTAGGTACAAAGAATCTTCCATTGGACAATTCCTGTAGACATAACGTTTTAAACCTTTGTGCAAGAGTCATCATACTCGATGAATCAGGGATGTACAACATGCGATGTGTGCTACCTAAAATGATTTTGGTCTCTTCACATATCAGGTCCACCAACATTTCTCACATTATTGTGCAGATGGAAGCAGAGAAGTAGGAGCCCCAATTATGTGACTTGTCTATAGGGTTTTTTTATGTCAGTGTGAAGTATTATTATCTTCAACGAGTATGAGGTCAAGAGTGTGAGCTATAGAAGGAAAGATAAGTGGGGGGGGAGAGATGGTGAGGGGGAGAAGGAGAAGAAAAAAAAAGATTTCTGATTTTTTGGTCTAATTAGTTTACTTAAGGCCATTCTCAACAGTGGTAGAGCTCGGGTTCTTTCATGGTTCTGCAAGAGCTCCAGTAGTGTAGGATAGCCAGGATGTTCAAGTATGGGCACATTTCTCTGGGCGGTCCCATAGGATCACCGTCAAAGATGCCATAAGTAGATCTCCTCAACTTTAGCAACCCATTGTTGGAGGGTGGGTACACCAGCCTGTTTCCAGAATGCCAGGATCAGGGACTTCGCAGCAGTTAACAAAGGAAGAGTCAACTTTTTTTTATTTGTTTTCAGTGGTAACGTGGTGTGATGTAGTAGCATCATCAATGGTTGGAATGGTAGGGCAGTGCCTGCAAAAATTGATCAGGATCCAGGAAAAGTGTGGCAGGGTGCATTATCCTTCTGAAAGAGGCCACTGCCATAAGCGAAAACCATTGCCATAAGGAGGCATACGTGATCTGCAATGATCTATAGGTAGGTGGTATGTGTCAAAGAACAGAACATCACCCTGCTGCCACAGGCCATCCCTGTTCTCATAATGCATCTTGTTGCCATCTCTGCCCCAGATAAACTACATTCACTCACCCGGCAATATACCTGATCTAAAATAAATATAATTAATCAGACCAGCTACAGTCTTATATTGCTCCATTGTCCAGTTCTGAAGGTCACATCTCCATTGAAGACATTCTGCGGTTGACAGGAGTCATCATGGGAACTCAGAATGATCTGAGGCTACATAGCCCAACACTGTGTGTTCTGACATGTTAATTAGATTGAGGAGACCTTGTGTTCTCCCAGCCCCTTCCCATGTCTGGCAGATGGGTGCTAGAGGGTTGAACATTAGGTTTGGTGGGACATGGTTTGTAGGGTACCTGTTTTCAAGTTGGAAAAGACCAAGTTTCCTGTAACCAAACCCTATAAAATGGGTATATTTGACAGCAAGTACATTGCATACAGAATATATCAGAAACAAGAGGTGAAGAAGGCCCTGATCAAACAAGCTTGCAATCTATTAATCTAGACACTTAATAAAAACACAAGCATCTCCCTAAAGACGCTCTGCATTTAGAATGCACAGTTTTAAAATCCATATTGTTTATTAGATGTTACAAGCTCTATTTGGTGAAAAAAGACAGACAATATGGATATTAAATACATTTTTTGGCTACAACATAGAAACATAGAATGTGACGGCAGATAAGAACCATTCGGCCCATCTAGTCTGCCCAATTTTCGAAATACTTTCATTAGTCCCTAACCTTATCTTATAGTTAGGATAGCCTTATGCCTATCCCACGCATGCTTAAACTCCTTTACTGTGTTAACCTCTACCACTTCAGCTGGAAGGCTATTCCATACAAATATTCTGACTGTTTGGGAGGTCAACAGGAATCTATAGGGCTGCATAGCTATCATTGGATCTTGGCAGTAAATATCAGTAAAGGCAAAGATCCAATATTATGGAATGCCAGATCGCAATACCTATGCGATCAGAGTGACAAGCTGTCTTGCTTCTTGGAAAGATAAAAGAGCCATCTATGTTGCTACATTTGAGGAATATGGACTATTAAAAAATTATAGATATTACTACAGGAGAAAGTACAATCACTTCTCTGACTGGATAATTAATATTCTCTGCTCCCTTAAACACAAATTAAAGGAACACATGCCTCCAGGACGACACAACACGAGAAGCAAATCTCGGCACTGGAGAAAAGGTGAGTAATTTGCTTTATTTTTTTATTATTTTACACAGAGTGGGGGGACCTAATTGATAAGCAGGTAGCTTTAAGAATAGAGATATGCATTCCTAATGCTGCAGCGTTCCTTTAACTCAATAGTGTCCAAGCTATATTGTCCGCATCTGATGCTGCCTCCGTGGCTGAGGTCATCAAAATGGATGATCTCAGCCAATCCATTGCTTTCCCATAAAAAAAATGGAGTCCAGTGTGCATGCGCAGAAAGATGCTGAACTGTGCCAATTAGATGTTCTCTCTGAGACCATTTGATAGAAATGGTGGCATTATAGACCTCGAGTGGCTTCCATACTGCAGGTAAACCCTGCCAAGAAAACATTGTCATTTCAGCAGAAAGACAATATTTTCAGGTGTATGGTTAAAATTTTGAGGACAAGGCACCCAGACCACTTAATTGAGTGGCATCACTTTAAATGAATACAACCCTGTATTATTATGTCCTTGCTCAAAAACCTGTTTAGTTATTTAGAGCTATTTCACCACATTACGTACATATGTCTTACTCTCTGTCTAATAGTGCAGATGGGAATTTTCCAGTGGACGCAGTAATCCCAGGAACATCATCTCACACTCCTTTCAGTGACATGAACCTCCAATCCCATAGAGCACCACATTCCTTAGTAAAGTCTCTTCATCGACACTCACTGGGATAGCTCAGAGACAGGTGTGGGGAGACACACGGATATTAACGCTTTAAGTATCAGAAAAATATTGAATTACTATTCATATAGTACTTTAATGATTTTGTTAACCAAATTTTCATTTACACAAAATAAAGGAAGAAAAATGTGAACACTTAACATTAACCAAGCCTTAGCTTTGGGGGCAATGCATGTGATGCACCCAAGCAAATTTAACTCATTCATACCTTCTTTCCATCTGCCAGTCCATACATTGAGTGAAAAGTGATGTCACAGTTTGTTACATATTCAATCCATTTCTGCCATGTACAGATCTACAGAATTGTAAGTAACCTGCATACTTTATACATAATCAAACCTATAACAAAGGAGGGAACTATACAAATTATTAGTGCAACTAAACAATTGGCTCTGCTGTTCTGGTAGCTTCGGGTCTGTGACCAACTTGTTCATTATTGAATCCATACTGTTAGCCAGATGTTCTATTGGCTTTTTAAAACATGTTAAATAATGATGCTATAACACGTTTTACATTGAAATTCCTATTCTGAGCTGTGTCAGATTCTGGGGTGGAACACTAGGGCACGTACTGCCCCTAAGAAGTCAGGGGAATTTAGGTCTGGCCAGTGGTCAGCAGCAGGGACTAAATTAATGACCCCCATCATTAAATGTCTGTAGCCATGTTTTGTATATGAACTTAAATATCTTTCTCTCTGTGGTTGTATGTGTCAGTGTGTTTGTCTGTCAGTGTAGATATTTGTGCATGTATGAATGTGTGTATGTTTGGGTGTAAATGAACTTATTTTTCACTGTATCTTTGTTTGTTAGTGTGTGTATCTGTGTTTGTGCAGATGTATGTGTGTTTTCTAAAGATAAAATCTGACACAAAATCCACCAGCCCCCTTCCTAAATTCGGTCTCTGGATCTGCCTCTTAATTCTGAAATAGGATTTAACAAATGCATGATTCAACTAAACTTGCTAAACTAAATAAGCAGGACAACCATTATGGCATAGCATTTCTAGAAACCATAATATGGTGACTGCAATGTGGAACATTTGGTACTTAAGGGATTAAATGGCGTACTATGCAGTCTAGTTTGATAAACAATGAACCCTCAGGTGGTTTAACTCCATTAGGTTTACAAGACTATGTTGTGGCAATATGTCACTGTCAAGTATCTGCATAATTTAAAAGGGATACTCCACTGTCCTAATAAAAATATTTAAATTAAAAAAATCATTGTTGGGGGGATAGGGAAGGGCGGAGATTGACTTTCAAGCTAAACAGATATGCGGTGCCTGAGCTCCCACATCTTTGGTGGAATTTGGGGAATTAATCCTAGCAACAACATATACAAATTGCCCACAAAGCATTTTTCAGGTCAGGGGCTCCTGGGCAAGCAGATTGCTAATTTACTTGAGGATTTCTGTCACGAGTGCCCGGTAAAGCCTACTGTGACCTACAGGGAGCGGAGCTGATGAGAGGCGACCGATCTCCTCACTCATCGACTCTTGGCTGGGAACTGCTGTACTTCCACCCCCCTCTTTGGTGGTGAGCCTACTCAGGACAAGACAAACAAGAAGCAGCCTTAGACACCTCCTTTACACCAACCTGAG